TTCAGAAAGAAGAAGGAAAAAAACTGCTTGGATGGATACCAGGTGATTCAGGGCAAAGGTGGTGATCCAAGTGCTATTCTAGGAAATGAAAACAAATCTCACTCCCAGTGACCCAGATGGGTCACTGACGAGTTTCCTCAGCTAGGAATGATTTCAGTAAAATATGCTTTCTGTGACATAGTTTTTGAGCCTGAGAGAGAAAATCTCCTAAAATACACAAGCTGTTGTGGGAATTTTAACATCCCCTTAGTTTTTCCCAGCTAGATATAAACTGCAAAAACAAATAAAATTTTTAAAAAGCCCATGAAAATAAAGTGAACTACCAAAATAAAGAGAAAAAGAAAGGAAAATCTCTTCTTGTAACGTAAGGCACTTAACAGAAATTGTGTGAAAAGTTGTGCTTAGGTTCAGGGATGCTGGACAGCAAAGGACTGCAATTCTTATCTTGAACATGTCACAAAGAAAGGGTGGTGGTGGGTCAGTCAAGAAATGCCTCTGCTGCTTCCTCTGAGTTTATTAAGTGCGGTGGACAATTCATCAGCCCGGCTGCCATCGCTGTCTGCCAGGTTTCTCGTTCAGGGTAGATTCTCGTGTACCTGTTAAACCCTGTTAAAAAAGCTTGCCCGAGGCTGGTGAGACTGATGGAGTTATTAAAAAAAATAAGATTATCAGTCAAGTGAAAGTGATCTCCAGGGTATGTTCATGTAGTTATTTAATTAGAATTTGGTGCAAGCAAGTCTCAGGCATTGAAGGACACCTAAGTCAGCACCGTGAGCAGAAGGTTATGCTCAGCTGACTGATTCAGCTTGATGCCAGTGAACATCTGTGGGCTTCTATGCTAAGGCATGGGGAGAAAGTCACAAACGCAATAAAAATTATGTTTCTTACCCATACCCTACAAACCTGAATTAGGTATTTTTTTAGTCTCAATCTACAAACATGGAGGTTTGTTATTAACAACTGGAAAATGAATCTACTTGTGAGCTATGGGATCCAGAAACAAAACAATGTTTATTTATACCCAATTATAAATATTTTTATAGTATGTTCTTGGGAATTAGGTCTTCAAGTTGAATCATCTGTTTCATATTCCAAAATTAGAATAGAAAGATAAACAGGGCACCAAAGCACAGGAAATTCAGCATACAAACAAGAAAACAAGAACTTTGTTTCTGAGCTTTGTTTTGCCCTAGTGCTGGCCGGTTGCATGATAACACCGGGAACAGCATAATGGCAGGAGCCCATAGAGTCTGTACAAGTTTTTAACCAAAAGAAGGGGTGTGTGTATTAGCAACCAAATTGCTGTGGATCCATTCTCGTTCCATGAAAAAAACCTTCTCAAGTGCCACTTCAGGGGAGTTGTTGAGGGATGTGCAGTTTTTTCAGAGTTATGAATACTTACATGGTGACATGGTATGGATATATGTGGTGTAATGCGTAGAATCACGGACTGGTTTGGGTTGGAAGGGACCTCAAAGACCATCCAGTTCCAACCCCCCTGCCATGGGCAGGGACACCTTCCACTAGACCAGGTTGCTCCAAGCCCCATCCAACTAGGCCCTGGTAATTCAGTCGTTATCCTCTCCCAATACAGCTCACATGACATCGGTTGACACGTGGAAGGGATTTTAGCATGATTTTGCCAACAACATGTTTAGTCAGTGCTAAGGTTGTTGGCTGAGTACATACTACTGAGTGAACAAATACATTCTACATGGTTGAGTAGTGACAGACACACTAGGAAGAAATTACATAATCTAATACGAAAGTCAGACAGTTATTCAAAGCAAAACCATGTCAAGCAATGGTTGATGTGTCTTCTCTGAGGGTCGAGGAGGTGACAATGAGCCTAACTGCAGCCTACAAAAAGCTCTTTGCAAAGAGAGCAAAGGCAGTGACTTCCACACGCTCCTGGTTCTTGACATCCTTGTGTTTGCAGGCACCAGCCTTCACTATGTGGATGGTGTAACACCGATCCCACAAAAAATGAATAAACAACAAAACATAAGGCCAAATAAACAATTTGAGTTCACATCTTGCCTTTAATTCTGTGTATTTTCAACTAGGGCATAAAACAAAAAAAAAATCACAGGCCTTGCTTTTCAGGTTTTTATGAAAGATGGATAAATTTTTGTGGGGGATTTGGCTGTTGGCATTTCCAGCATATTTCAGTGTGATTTATGAATATGCACAACACACTCTGAAGGGCTGGGTAAGCCCTGAGAAGCCAAACTCCTCACAACCACTAATCATGCAACTATGGGGAAAAAAGTAACTATATTCTTTCATTCTGATCTGCAACCAAAGGTATTAAAAACTGTATAAAACTCTTCTTTCTAGAAAGAAGACATGAAATGTCTTTCAACATTTGAATGACATTCTGGTGAGACGTGAAATGTCTCCTGACTGAGGTTTCATCTCCTGAATGGGATTTACAGTTTTGCCTGGTTTAGGATGTAGGGGAATCAATGGGAAGGCTTCCAATTGATTTGACAAACCTTTAGATCAGATGGTGTGGTTCAGCCTTAAATATTGCAAACAAAACACCTTTAACAGCTCAGTATCTTTTGAATCTGGATTTATTTAATCCAGAGAAGTGAAAACTTAATGGAAAAAACAAAATCAATCTTCAAATAGGTAAAAAGCACCTATAGAGAAAGAGGAGAAAATGACTCCCCATGGCCAGGAGGGCTGTGGTAGGAATCTCAGGAGCAGGAGATGTGTGTCATGAGGAGATAACAGAAATGAAAGGAGAAAAAAAGACCAACGGTAGTTATGCTGAAATTGTTGGGGAGATTTTTCTAGGCGTCTCAGGGAACGATGATTTCTGTGCTCTGTTGCCCCTAATCTCTGGCACTTATCATCAATGAGGAACCTTTCAAGGCCTTCCCTCTGAAGTTTGGACATTTTTTACCTTTGCTGTTAGATTTTATTTTATTTTTTTACCCACCCTTTGCAGTTTATCTCCATTAAAACACCTTGCTGTAGCCACACACACAGGGGTGTGCCCAACCCTCATACAAAACAAAAGATACCTCACACCTGCAGTACGTAGAAGTGTTTCCAAACATAACCGATGGACGGAAAGTCAAATACTGGAGGGAAAACTTTCTCTCCAGTAACATGGAGAAACACATTGGCTGTAGAAAACAGTTATTCCTCACTGACACTTAGGGGAAGCTCCTATCACCTTTCCTGAGGTCCTCACCTTTAGTGATGCTGCGGGAACAGCAGCGGATGTGGGACGTGCTTGGAGGGGAGGGGATGCTCAGGGATGCAGTCGTTGGAGGGAACACAGGGATGGGGAAATGCAGATAGACAGATCTGTAGGAGTCCCCTGAACAATGTGGGTCATTTTGCTTTTGTATGTGATACCAAGAAGAAAGAAATGAAAGCCAAAAGAAAAGGCATTTCTGAATCAAGAGTCCGCAAGCTGGTTTCCTAGGGCCAGATATTCTCTGTACATTTCTATGTGCAGAAAGAAAAAGAGTTAGCTCATTCCTTTTGAAGCCTACATTAAGATATTTAGAAATCCCCTATGTGGTATTTCAGAAGCAGGGGCGCAGTCCATTGCTTAACAAACTTAATCCAGCAGACCACACTCCAACACAGTAAAACATTGATTTGTATTTTAATCACAGAGACAGTAAATTGAAAGACAAGATAGAATTAATTGCTTTGTAAACATTCCTTCCTTTGATTTTAAATGCTACTCCTCACATAGATTATCTTGGAAATCTCTGCATTTTATAATTAAGCACAGATCCATTATTGTTTCAAGGAAAAATTTAGCATTAAAAGCAATAATAAAAATAATTAGAATATTGCATAGCCACCCTTCCAGATGCCATGGTGAGATCAATTTTCACATTTCCTTTCCACACATGATCAACTAATTCTCCCCAAATTAAATCTTCCTCCCTTTCAATAAACCTTGAAATACTTATGGATGCCTTGTTCATATTTTCTCTCCAGCTCACAAGGTTGTGAGACATTAGATAAATGGCCTTAGAAGGATGTGAGGGGAGAATTAAAGAGGAGAAAAATGACGTAATGATTGTACCAAACAACTCGTGACGTGAATGTTGAAATTGTTTCTTAACCTCTTAAGAGGTTTTAAGATTGCAAACCTATTCTAAAGCATTGTAACAAGCTGGGATTTGCTGTAGATAAAGGTTTCACAGCTTCTTACAAATGGCACATATGTGACTGTCCTCAGTGAAGCATTTTGGCAGCTCATAATATGAGATGTTTGCCCTGTAGTCATTTAGCGGATGATGCTGACCTTTGATCTTACATTATCCCATGTGAAAGTGGGTTTTTTTCAGCACAGATCTTGCAAGAAAACTGGCAAGAACAAAAATGACAACTGTCAGGATGGCGACGGCAGCAACGTCCGGCGGGAGGGAATTAGCAGCAGCAGCGGGAACTGCCCAGGGAGGAAGCACAGAAGAGTCCGGCCATGCGAGTGAAGGCGGGGAGGGTGGCTGTTGGCATATTACAGATCAGGAGACAAAGAGCTGGTGCATTAAAAGGGTTGGTTCCCAGATCAGAGTCAGAAATAAGCTAACTTCCTACAGAGTCCTTGCTCTAAACAATTATCTAACTTTATGTTAGCAGGGATGAAAATGAGGCGAAGATGACCGTTGAGGGTATTAAATATTTCTCAAGAAGGCTGGGAGTTTGCTCACAGCTGGCCATCGCGCCGCACAAGCAGACTGGAGCTGATGAGTGCAATGCAGTTATAGCACTAGATGGGTTACATGCTGTCTCTCCCTTGGGACAGCCAAAGCAGTTACGCTTTCTATACAGGCGGATGAAAAGAGGGGGGTTTCAAGGTGTTGAAGAGATTTGCAGACATTTGGGTCAGCCAAACAATGCCTTCTTTTTTATGGTGAAGTTAGCAAAAGCAGATTTCAGTGGCAGATGTCAGGAACACAGAGCTATGGCTTTTCCTAAAACCTGAAGTCGCCTTAGAGTAAATAGGAGAGAAATTTAACTTAACTAGTATTCCCACTCTGAGCATCCCCTCCTCTAAGCTGAAGTGCTCCAACGGTCACATTCACTGTTTCCTCGGCAGAACTTGTGTCTCTCTTAGATCTACGAATACAGCCCCGGTAGCAGCGGGAGGAATAGTCACCGCGCCTGCACACCACCAGCTCACACCGCAGGTAGACTAACGCGTGGCGGCTGATGAACTCAAAGGCATTGAACCTGAACCGAGCAAAGTGGCTGTAGGGGGTGTAGTATGTGGCATAGGAAGGGTCTCGAACACATCTAGAAAGAAACAAGAAAGAGAATTAGTCTTCGAGGATACACACGTACACATTACTTCAGAAATACAATAGATTAAAGCAAAATTATATCATAGCCAGGTACTAAGAGCACAGTGGGATAAAAATGCAACCTTTATAGCATAGTAGAGGCTTTTAAAATATAGAGTTAATTAAGTCCTACAAAGCAGCTAGAGCACTGGCAACACTCTTGTTTTTCCAAGAGGAGACTATAAGTGCTGAAGAGGGGAGAACAGACTCCTACTAATGTCTGTGCTATACAAGGCATAAAAAAATGAGTCTAATGGTTAACCCAGTTTTATATTCCTTCTGCCAGTTTTCACTGTCTCATCTACCTCACTCCTACTACTTTGAATTTTGTATATAGGACAAGGATGAAGTAAGTAAAATGAAATGTTAGGAAGGTCTAAATGTAATTTCTTATTTCCAGGCTCATGCTGTAAAAATAAAAAATTAAAGAGCCCATTTAGCAGTCTGTTGATAATGAGATTTAAACCAGATCAGAGTTTCTGCCAGTTTTCACTGTCTCATCTACCTCACTCCTACTACTTTGAATTTTGTATATAGGACAAGGATGAAGTAAGTAAAATGAAATGTTAGGAAGGTCTAAATGTAATTTCTTATTTCCAGGCTCATGCTGTAAAAATAAAAAATTAAAGAGCCCATTTAGCAGTCTGTTGATAATGAGATTTAAACCAGATCAGAGTTGCTCTGTTCTTTTAAATAAATATAGAAAGGGAATTACAGCTATACTTCTAATGACTTGAGAAAGCTCTTACCCGTTCTTGATGATATCATAGGCCAGAGTGTTAAAATCATGAGGATCAGGTGATGCCACACACGTGTCCACAAACACGATCAGATTTGGGTCAGAGCTGTGAAGATAAGCTTGAAGGTACAAATTCTGGTTCAAGTCAATGTAGTATGGAGAGTCGTGCACTTGCCGCAAGAATGATGAGGAGTCATAGAAAGTGATGTTCACGTCGTAGCTTCCAAACTGATGCTTGTTCACATCTACGGTATCCTCAGCAACATACATGGTTTGCATCCATGTCTTCTGCAGCATTTTGCAACTGATATGTAGGTGAATATTCTTTTTCCTCTTGATTATGTACCCAGAAGATATAACTTTGATCACATTAGAATAGTTGATTGTGTCATTGTTCTCCTGTTAGACATGTAATTTAAAATAAGGAGTTGCATTGTTGTTGTGCTCCATGCTGTAAGCTTTGATAGAGCAATATGGGATTTAAAAATGGGGATTCAAATTAAACTCTAAACCAAGAAGCTTGATGTTGGTCTCTCCTGCTCACATGTTGTAAATAACCTCCTTGTTAAATCCAAGACAGTGCAAAGTCGTTAAACTCTGTACAAAACACCAGTGGTGTAGTACACGGTCATCCCAAACCCACATGGCACCTACAAGACTACATCTACTTTAAATCTTGGGAAGTTCACATAACATCCTCCCATGCTTCCCTCCCTAGAAGCTCATTTCTATTAACAGGGGGATTCCCCAAGCCATGGCAAGCTAAAGCATTGAAAATCCCCGGGTCTTGGTTCAAGTCTTAACACTGTGACCCACAATGGCTCTTTCATTTCTCTTTGAAAAGTGGGTCCTGCAATTCAGTGAGCGCAACGGTGAGCGTACCTGTCGTATCGTCCCACAGCCGTTGTAGGGAATGTTGAAAATCACCTCGTGCGAGGTGACTGTTGGTATGCAGCGACTGTCGTCCAGGGTGACCATCTGCGCCGAGTAGCCTTGAGACTGGAGATAGTCTCTGCTAACCACTGCATGCATGTAGTCTGGCAAGCACTGAAGGGCTGGTAGAAGAAGATATTAGAAGATATTAGTGATTTCTGGAATTTGTGAGTGATTAAATGTTGCAATTGAACCAAATGTTGGGTTTTTTCTTAATTCTAAGGCAGTTCACACATCAACCCATCATATTTCACTCACATCATTTAATTTCCTAACCTCTTTAAATACATGCAAATATTTATTTTGCAAAAAAAATCAATAAACAAGTTTGTTTGTTGAGACACACCGACCGGGAACTTACTAGTGTTGTGATCTGCTGGAACAGAGGAGTAGTAAGCCTGAAACCCTCGGAAGGTGATTCTAGAATCGCTGTGAAACCGAACGGTCATCATGTTTGAAGAGGATATGTACGTGGGAAAGGAACCAGAACAAAGTCTCCCAAGGAGCAGGGAAGAGTGTGGAGGCCCATCATAGACTTCAATGTAGTCATACTGGCATCTGCCGCTTTGCATCCTGGTGAAGAAATGTCAGCACCTTGTCAAACGCGTTTCAGAAACTCTGATTTAATGCCCTAAAACTTTCAGCACTTAAAGTTTTCATGGCAGAGTTTTTATTCATTTTGTACATAGCTGTAGCAGAAAATTGTGAGCAGAAAATACTACAGTAACCCAGATTTTGTTCTGTCTTCCAGCTGCTACATGTTATTGAAAGTATCTTTAACATTGGGAAGGTTGCCTATTTTAAATAATATTTCAAACTTCTCAAGTAAGTTTTGACTTTGTTATTTGCCCAGGGAATCAATGTTTTACTTACACGATATCTCTGAATGTGAGCATAACACGGAAATTGTTCTCTACTTGTATTTCCCACACGCAGTCAGCATTGTTTGGGTATCTTCCAGGGTAGAAGGGACTCTGCAGCATCCCAGAGGGATTTGAGATTGATCCACCACAAAAATAAGGTGCTGCAGAAAGGGATGGAAGAGAACTTAGGGTAACCTCTACAAAATTGTGCCTGAGCTGTATGTGTCTCATCTGCAGCTGCTGAAAAGCAGGTTCCCTGCTGATTAAAGGTGATATTCTGTATGACCCAAATCAAAACTAATGTTTCGTCCCGTTTTAGGGTTACTTTTATGTTGAATTCAGGCTTCCCTGTCACATCCATGATGGCAGACGACCCTCTTCAAGTGGTAAAACCTTGACTCTTTCTGCTGTGCTCTGTTCTCTCCTTTCTGCAGTCAGGGTCTGGTTCTGGGAGGTGTTATGACATTCAAAATGGAAGTACCTTCCTGAACAGACAGCATCGCCTCAGGTATTCTGCTGCTTCTCTTTATTCCCCTAAGGACTTTGGAGGATAAGTAAGTTGCAAGTTTTCTAGGAAACGCTAATTTTATGGTCTCAGTCTGAAATAAACACTCCAGACTGCTGGGCCAAGTCTCGTTTCTCCTGTAAGTGTAGCTGCAAAAAGCTTTTGTGTTCCTGCCCGCATGAACGACATAAAATTCTTACATTAAACCCACAGATAATCCTAAAAGTTTCCTATAGGAAGGTGAGCACAAGCTTTGAACTTAATTCAGACAAGATGTGACACATAATTCCTGCACAGGGACAACCCCCACTGCAGCACACTCCTCCCTGCAACAGGATTTTGGGATTCTTCGGCTATTCTAAGCTTAAGAGCATCAACTGTACCCAGACTGCCCCTTCTTCTGATCAGACTGGATGGGCTCTCACGCACATCAACTTTTATACTATTTTCTACTGTGAATAGTCAAGCTCTAAATCTAAAATCTACTTTCTAAGCCAAAAATAGCAGGCTGAATACCATAACAGCTCTAGTAAGCAGGAGAGCCAAAAATTATACCTTGTGATACTTGAACACTTTCCTGCCAATACAGATGTAAGTGGTTAAAAGTTAGAGATTTAGACAACACTTTCTACACCTTCACCCAGCTGAAGAGCACAGTGAGGGAACAGCTTGCCTACAGCCAACCAGCATAAGTGCAAATTAAACAGCACTGAAAAGCAAGGGATATGACAAGCTAAGAATTATCATGCAACTTTAAAGTGAAATCACCATACAAACCGGAATAAAATTATAAAAAAAAAAAAACAAGAGAGAGACAGCACACAAATGAAAAATATGAGAAGAGCCAGAGAAGAGCATTATTTGATGGAGGTGTTGGCATGGCCAC